TCACCTGTTGCTGAGCTAATGGGATTTTTCTCACCCCTTACCAGAGGAAAACAGCTCTTTATATTACGCAGATACCAACCAAACTGGTGGCTCCAGCATTATAGCTTCATTTTGGGGGTGGTATTGAAGTCAGTGGAGAAGGAAAAATCTTCCCAGTTGGAGGACTTCAAGTAGTTTTGTGGAACTTATCAGTCATTTTCCCTAGAAAGATAGGCAGTTGGAGGTAAAGAATTACATCCTTTCATGGTAGGCTAATAATTTGTCTTGCTGGGATTAGGGACTTGGAAGAGACATGATTCAAAAATGAGTGACTCAGGAGTAAAGAGAAAAAAATGTGTATCCATAGCTCTGCTAGAAGAAGTGCCTGTGTTCCATGTGAATGACAACAACAAAAAGCAAATTATGCAGAAGGAAATCTTAATTATACTTAGAAAAGATGATCAGTCTTGCGGACATCAGTCAATCTCTTAGGCTTACAACTCCCTGTTTTGCTTAAAGACCTGAGCAAAGTAACCACAGTAAAACGAGTGGAGGTTGTACATGGGCTTTAAAGCACAGATATCCACTCTCTAAGGCCCTTTTGGGCTTCAGAGATTGCTGAGTATCTAATCTGCCAGCAGTGGAGACCATCACAGCCTCTAATATGGCACCTTCTCCCGACAGCATTACCAATGGCCTGGTGGCAAGTTGAATACACAGGAGCATTTATGTTTGGAGGAGAGAGTGCCTATTCTTACTGGAGTGCATTTTTACAATGGTTGCACATTTACTTTTCTTCCAATAATTCTCTGGCAGACTTCTTTCCCTGAATTTAATAAATAGTTCATTAATAGTCCTGGCTTCCTTTAAGCAATACTTCTAACCAAGGAGCTCAAGCTCATTTCATGGCAAACGAAGTACAGTGGTGGGCTCATGCACATGGAATTCACTGTTCATTCATGTTCACTCACTCCGAGTCTCTTGGGCTGAGAAAGTGGTGGAGCGGCTGTTGGGAGCTCTGTTTTAGCTGGGAGGTAACAGCTTGTGGGTCAATAATTTTCTCCAGGATACAGTATGTGTTCTAAATCAGCTTCCAATATATCATTTTCTTTCTCTCAAAGACAGCATTTGTAGTTTATGGGATCAAAAGTGGAAATTGGATTGAATCTCTGAATCCTTTCATTATAATCCATAGAGTTTCACTAGCACTTTCTTTTCAAAAATTTGAACTCTGCTGGAGGAGATTTTGTTCCCAGGGGAAGAATGCTCCTACCAGAGAATATAAAAATGGTCCAGTTTACTTGTGCTTGACCACTATGGACTGTTTAGGCTGGTAGGTAAACAAGCAGGCAATCATCTGAGATCACTGATCTTGACCATGAAAAGAAAATTAGATTGTTTCCACTAATACTAGTAAGGAAGAGTATTTCTGGAATGCAGGAGATACTCTAAGGTATGACTTACTACTTTATGTCCACTGATTAAAATCAGTGGGAAACTACCATCTAAAACAGACAGAATGCTAATTGATCCAAACTATTAAAAAATAAGGATTTAGGTCAGTGATGGTGAACCTTTTAGAGCTTTAGGTGGTAACAAATAGCTGGCTATGGTGCTCACCCCATAGGTTAACCACCACTGGTTTAGGTCAACCTTGTAGGCAAGAAACAACAACAAGCTGAGTGTGAAAATATCAATACTTCTGTGTTTATAATATGACTTATGAGAACAGAACGTGATGGAGCACCATAAGAATTCTTCTTTCAATAATTTGCAAATGTTGGAGTCCTGGCTACTTTTCCTGTATCCCTCAGCAAATGTAGTTTAATTTTTTTCATTAGAAGAAAAAGAAAATAAGAGGCTGTGTGGGTCCATCATTCAATAGAAGAATAAGACATTTTGCCACATAGAATGGCCATAATCAACTATAGCAACACAATTTTAGGAAAATCAGATTTCTCTTTCTTCTTATAGTTAGAGCTTTCTGCGAGATGTTGTCTAAAACAAAATGATTTTTGTTTTAGAACAGGTGTTGGCTTCCTTATTCTGCCTTACGCCTATTAATTGCTCTACTTATTCTCCTCAGTACAGTAGCAATTCTTATTCTACTATTTTCTTAATCAAGAAATTGTTGGGAATAAAGAATTGTTAGAGCTCCAGGGACAAAAATAGAGTTGAAAAATTTTATATGCGTTTCTATGGGAGTTCTTATTGTAAAATTTCTATTTCACACATAGATTTTTTTCTTGTGCTTAATTTTTAATGAAAATTTAATTTGCCTATTGTAAAACTCACCCATAAGTATAAACTTTCATGATATGTCTTAGTAAATTTTTAGAGTTTTGACATAATCATCACAATGCAGCTTTGAGGCATTTCTGTCTCCTCACCAAAATTCTTTGTCCCCTTTTTGGAGCTACGCCTTACTCTCATTCCTTGCTTTCATTCCCAGGAAACCCCTGCCCTGCTTTTGCTGTGTATAATTTGACTGCTCTGCATGTGTCTTATTAAAGACACTGTTATGATTTAGATCAATAATGTCCCCTAAAGACCTCATGGACTCATGGGAAAGACATTTGGAAAGTTTTTGGGTCATAGAGGAGGTATAGCTGAATTGTTGTTAAGAGGTGGGGTCCCTCACCTCTTAAGGGAGGAGCTGGTTACTGGAGGCAGATCTAGAAGGGTGTATCTCTCTCCCTGGACCCTCCTTTCTCTCTCTTTGCTTCCTGGATGCTATGACTGAGCAGCGGTCCTCCACCCAGGTCCTTCCACCGTGCCGCTTCTGCTTGGAGCCAGCTGACCTTGCAAGGATAGAGGCTCATGAGCCAAAATAAACCTCTTCTCCTTCAAGCTGTTGGTTTTGGGTGTTGGGTCTCAGAGGCAAAGAAAGTAATAAGATAAACAGTATCTAGACTTTTGTTTCTGGCTTTTTTTACTTAGCATGCTGTTTTGAGTTTTATTATTCCTATGATGTGTATCAACAGTTTCATGTATTGCTCAATGGCGTTCTATTTAGTCTGTACATGCATCATTAATGTACGCATTCACCAATGGTGGGTGTACAGGTTGTTTCTAGCTTTTGGCTACTGTACGTAATGTCAATCTGAATGCACACATACAATCCTTGTATGGACATATTTTCCTTTTTTCTAGGGTAAATCCCAAGCAGTTAAAGTACTGGATTGTATGGTAGGTTTATATTTAACTCTGTTTTCCAAGAGGCTGCACCATTTTTCATTCCTGCCAGTAGGCTATGAGGTTTTCAATTTCTTTACATTCTTTGTACGCTCTTAAAAATCTTTTTGATTACAGTCATTCTAGCAGGTATAAAGCGTTATACTGAGTCATGCTTTGGTTTTTAATTCTCTAATGATTAATGATAAGTATCTTTTCATGTGATTATTTGCTTTCCATATAGCATCTTTGGGTAATATTTCTCAAATCTTTTACTCATTTTTAAATTGGGTTGTTTGTCTTATTGATTTGCAAGTGTTCTTTACATTATGTGGCTATATCCCTGGATTAGCATATGATTTGCAGTATTATCTCCAAATATGTTATTCCTCTTTTCATTCTTTAAATGGTAATTTTGAAGGTCAGAAGTTTTCATCTTGATGTAGTCCATTATAGATTAGCATTTTTCTCTTTTGTAGATTTTGCTTTTGAAATTATGTCTGAGAATTTTGTCTAGGCCAAGGTCATGAAGATATTGTATGTTTTTCCTATAAATTTTGTGGTCTTCATTCTTACATTTGTTTGTATTTGATTTTAAGGTGATTTTTTTTGTACTGTTTGAGATAAGATTTTATTCCTTTGGCACATGAATATCCAATATTCTGAGTATCATTTCTTGCAAAAACTATCCTTAACTTGAATTTCTGTGGCATCTTTATCAATTAATTGGTCATAAATATAGAGTTTACTTTTACATTCTTAATTGTTATATTGAGCTTTTCTTTTGCCAGTACTACACTGTCTTGGTTATTGTAGTTTTAGAGTAAGTTTTCAAGTAGGTAAACATTAAGCCTTTAAATTTCTTTTCTTTCTTTTCTTTTTTTTTTTTTTTGGTTTTTCTCTGGTACCAGGAACCGAACTCACGACCTTGCGCTGGCCAGGCAGGCGCTTTTGCTGCTGAGCTAAATCCCCAGCCCTAAATTTATTTTCTTTAAAGCATTTTTGGAGTTATTTTTGTCTGTGGAGTTGGGAAAATTAGGTATTTCCATATAAATTTTAGAACAAGCTTTTCATTTTTTGCAAAATCTTGCTGGGATTTTACAGGAATTATGTTGAATCTGAAGATCAGTTTTTGTATGTTGTTTGTGTATTCTACTTTTTTTATTGTGTATTATTCTAGTAGACTTTGTGGAGTTTTAGGATTTCCCTCAAATAGAATCAGATCATCAACAAATAAAGACAGATTTACTTCTTTATGTCCACTATGGAAGATTTAACTTCTATTTCTTTTTTTCCTTTTCTTTCTTTTTCTTTTTTTGTCTTATTGAGTTGGCTAGAACTGGTTGTACAATATTGAATACAAGAAGCAAAAGCAGATGTCCTTGGTTTGTTCATATATTAAGAGAAAAGCAGTTAATCTTTCCTTAAGCATTTTAGCTATGGGGCTTTTCTGCATGCCATTTATCATAGTTAGGAAGTTCTCTTATTCCAGCATCTTTTTACAAAATGTGTAGATATTAATGAAAATTGAGCTGGGCTGGGTGGTGCATCCCTATAAGCCCTACACTCTGAAGGCTAAAGCAGGACCAAGTTTGATGCCAGCCTGAGAAATTTAACAACTTGGAAAGACTGTCTTAGGAAAAAAGAAGAAAGGAAAATAAAGATATTCATTTTATTGATACTACTTTTTGTTTGAGAACATTTAGGATCTATTTTCTTGACAACTTCAGTAATACAATTGCTATCTTTAGAAAATTTTTAAACCACTTAAATTTTTTAAAGAATGATTCATTCATGTAATTGAATTTATTTCTGTTCACATTTTACTTTAAACTGTTTTACAGTTGTTTTGTTTGTGTTAAGGTCCAGCCAGCTGAGGTGCTCACAACTGAATCCCAGCTACTTAGGAGACTAAGGCAGGAAGAGGGCAAGCTGGAAGGTGGCCTGGACAACTCAGTAAGTCTCAAAATGCATGGAGGCTGAGGGTGGAGTGTGGTTACCCAGCATGTCACGTATGAATTCATTATTTTTAACTGCAGTTGTCATTATTATTAATGGCTGGAATTATCATAGATCTTGAGAACTTACTCTTCTTGTAACATAAATTTTATATCATTGGAACAAAATCCATTTCCTCCACTGCCTAGCTCCTGGTGGCCACTTTATTTACAATCAGTTTTTATGAGTTTAAGTTCTTTATACTCTACATGTAAATGAGATAATGTAGCATTTTTCTTTCTGTGTCTGTCTGGTGTTACTTATTTTATTTTATTTTTTTTCTCCGGTACTGGGAACCGAACTCACGACCTTGCGCTTGCTAGGCAGGCGCTTTGCCGCTGAGCTAAATCCCCAGCCCCTGTCTGGTGTTACTTATCATAATATCCTCTACTCTTATCTTTGTTCGAAATGACTGGACTTCCTTCTTTTTTTAAGGCTGAATGTCATTCCATTATACACACACATCCCATTTCCTTTATCTATTGACCCCTTGATGGGTATAGAGGTTGTTTCATGTTTGGTTGTTGTGAGACAATGCTTCGGTGAACATGCAAATGCAGTTGCCTCTTTGATATAATGAGTTCAGTTTCCTTGTATGCACGTTCAGTTGTAAGGTTGCTGGTGTTTACACTTCATTCTGTTAACATGGTGCATCATATCAATTGATTTTCATATGCTTAGTTATCTTGCATTCCAAGCATAAATCCTACCTTTTCATGATGTATAATCTTTCCAGTATGTTGCTGAATTTGATTTGTTAATATTGTGTTCAGGAGTTTTGCATCGATATGCTTAAGAGATGCTGATCTGTAGGTTTTTTTCTTGTAGTGTTTTTGTCTTGCTTTGGTATCAGTGCAGTGCTGGCCTCACAGAATGGGTTTGACAGCATTTGTGCCTCTTCATTTTTTATCTTTAGAGAAGTCTGAGAAAGATTGGTCTTTGTTTGTCCTTCCAGAATGCACCAGTGAATTCAGCAGATCTCTGTCAGGACATTTTTGGTTTTTATTACCAATTTGATCACCTTACTAGGTAGAGGTATATTTGGATTTTCCTATTTCTTCTTGAAAGATTTTGTTTTTCTGGATATTTATTCATTTCAACCAGGTTATCTAATTTGTTGGCATAGAATCACTGATAGTACTTTCTAATGATCCTTTTTATTTCTATAATATTGATATAAGATTGATGGTAATGTCCCCACATGGATTTTTGATTTTAGGAATCTCTCTCTCCCTCTTCTTTCTCTTAATGTTATTTCTGACCAATTTTTCCTCTCTTTTTGGAATTCTTATCATACATATGTCTATTTGCTTGATGTTGTCCCAAAGATCTTTGAAACTCTGTTCATTATCTTCTTCCCTCGATTAGGAGTAGATAATTTCTATTATAATTTTCAGATTACAGCATTTCTATGGATCTTTTTAAAACTTTATCGATTAGGGGCTGGGGATTTAGCTCAGTGGCACAGCGCCTGCCTGGCAAGCGCAAGGTCGTGAGTTTGATTCCTGGTACCAGAAAAAAACCGAAAAAAAACAAAAACAAAAACAAAAACAAAAACAAAAAACCCAAAAAACCCCAAAACTTTATTGATTCTTTTTACTTTCACTTCCTATAGCCTATTGAACCATGCTAGAAAATTTTTCTTTTAAGTAATCTTTTCAATTCCACAATTTTCCATTTAGTTCTTTTTTGTAATTCCTAATTTTAAATTGAGATGCTATTTGATAATTAATTATCATCATATTTTCCTATAATTCTTTAAACACAGTTTTCTTTTGTTTTCTGTACATATTTATAATTATTTCTTTGAAGTTTTTGTCTATTAATTCTAATGTGGTATATTCAGAAACACTTTTTACGGCTGTTATTTCATCTCCCCTTTTCTTTTTTTATATCTGAATTTCTTGATGTTGTTGATAACTAGGTATTTTAGGTAATGAAGTAACCCTGGATTTAGATTTTTTTTTCCTTTTAGATTGTTGGTGCCAGTGTGTATGTGTGAGTGGGTATGTGTGTTTGTACACACACAAATTTAGTAACAAGGCTGGTTTAAATACACAGAGTCTGCTTTCTTTCAGCATCCTCTGATGTTTTTGCTCACCTTTAAAAATATTATCCATATTTTTTTATTTTAAAGAAAATAAAAAACAATAATAATGATCAGAATTTTAAAACAAGATGATAGGAAATTTACAATTGTTATTATACTGCATATTGTTATCTTCAAAGTAGTTGCTCAGATTACCAGATATAGGCATGTAAGATTGATAAACACTATCTGTTCCTTTCAAAACACTAATAGAAATTAGTAGTACAATTATCTATCATCTATCTATCTATCTATCATCTATCTACCTATCATCTGTCTATCTATCTATTTATCTATCTCTCTATCTATCTATTTATCTATCTACTTATCTACATTCCTTTGTTCTTTTCTCCTTTCTCCCATTCCAATTGTTCTTTCCTTTTTGAGCAGTTTCTTTTCGTTTCACAGTATCTATTATACATTTTGGATCTTACTTCCTCTTTCAGTTTCTTACACTAGGGAGACAATACAGTGTTTACACATGCAGGTCTGATTTATTTCACTTATGAGTATGGTCTCTAGTTGCATCAATTTACCTACAAAAGCCTTGAGTTTATCTTTCTTTACAGCTGAGTAGTACTCCATTGTATAAAAGTAGCATTTTTTATCAGTTCATCAGTTGATGGGCATTTGGGTTGTTTCCAAGATTTAGCTACAACAAATTTGCACTGCTATAAACATGGGTGCATATATATCACTGTGGTTTGATGTTTTTAATTCTGGGAAACCCAGAAGGGGAATAGCTGGGTCGAATGGGACCTTTAATCCTAGTTTTTTGTGGGCTCTCCACATTTATTTCCATAGTGGTTGTACTAGTCTACACTCCCATGAACAGTAGAGAAGAGTCCATTTTTCCTTTGCAGCCCTGCCAGCATTTTTTATTCATTGACTTTTTTGATGATAGCCATTTTTTTCTGGGGTGAGATAGCATCTCAGTCTTGTTTTAACTTGAAATTGACTAGCTAATAATTATTCATAAAATGTACCCAAAACAGTTTGGGCCAGTGATGGAGATCACTACAAAGCACCTTTGAGTAGGAATTAAATTAACCAATTGGCTTTCCATGTTTACTTGTGAGTCTATCCAAGGCCTAGGCTCCTTGTCTGGAAATGGGCAGTGGACTCATAGTAAGTGAACCTCTGTGAATCACTGATCCTTACTGAATCCTGCAATGGCAGGTTTAGTCATGAGGCCTCAAAGGATAAGACAAGATCATAGCCAAGGATACCTGGATCCAACCTCAACTAGATAAAGACTATAGCCTCAGCCATCTCACTTCGGGGTGGATTAACTTAATACCTTACTTGGAGAAGTCCTTGAGTGGTTCCACCATTCTTGAGTATTCCCCTCCCTTCTTCCAATAACCAAATAAATGTGGGCTTCTCTTGGGCTACCAAGAGAAGATCTTAGTCTTAGGCACCAGAGAATCTTGAATTCTATGAGAGGGTTTTGAAACCCTGCAATCGTTCCATTTGCCTCTTTTATTTAGCCTTTCCCATACACTTGATCAGGAGATTGTGGACTTGATCAGCCCACAATAACTAAGGGATACTATTAACCTGATAGGTCAGTAAAACTCCATTGTCTTGTATTGCTGTGTCTTTGACTGTGTGTCTGAATATTAAAAATTCAGACAATTCACAAGTCTGTTCCAGCTTTAGGTTTCTTTTCGGCCTTCACAGCTCTCTGTGCCTGCATAGGCCTCTTGTTCAGCCAAGGATACCTGGAGGCTAGGGCCCTTTCTGGTTTCTCTCCATATATGTATCTGAGAGTCTACGGATTTCTGGAGACTGGTAGGAACCTATCAAGTCCAATGGTGGGCATCTCATTCATTAATCTTATTAATTTTATAGTTTGTATGACATTCTGTTGCTTTTTTTGACCAGGACTGCAATACTAAGATAATTCTCAATGGCCTTTCCTCTGCCACAGGTTGTTACTGTTCTGGGCTATGGAGTTGCTCAGGGCTCCACTCAAAACCAAGTGTGCCTTCTTCAAGCAAAGCTGCTGTTTTCACAGCTTGTCCTGCACTCATGCATCCCCACATCCAGAGCTGGAGGACAGTGGAAAGGGAAACAACCTCAGCTAAAAGGATAAAAATGCTACAAACTCTCACTGTTTTCCTGGAGGATTTTTTGAAACCACTCCTCTCAATTTGTTTACATGCCTCTGGAGTTCTGAAGTAGTTGTTTTTGACAGTTTTCTTTATGTTTTGTTTTGATAGTTTTCTTTATGTTACGTTTTCATAGTTTTCTTTATGTTACGTTTTCATAGTTTTCTTTATGTTACGTTTTCATAGTTTTCTTTATGTTACGTTTTCATAGTTTATGTTCCTGAGCCTCTGTCCCACCATTTGAGAAGTTGTTTGACTTGAAGTATTTAATTACTGATCAACATGATTTCCTCTTCAGTTTTGAGTTACCTGTCAAGTAGTTGAGATGCTAGATAGGAAGTAGGCTGTACACATGGCCCCATAAATATGAAGGTACTCCTTAACTTATAATGGGGTTACATCCCATGAAACCTATTGTAAAATTAAATTATTTAATGCACCTTACACCTAATCTGCAGAACATCACAGTTTAGCAGCACCATGTATTGCAGAGTGCTGGTTGTTTACTCTAGGACTGTGACTGTCCGGGAGGTGTGGCTCACTGCTTCCGCCCAGCTTCATAAGGGAGTATAAAAGTATCGCATACCAATAGCATGGGAGAAGGACAAAAGTCAACATTTGATGTGCAGACTCTGCTGAATGCACATCACTTTGGAACCATACCATAAAAAATATTGTAAAGTGACCCATCATCATCTTTTTTTCTGGTACCAGGAATCAAACTCTTGACCTTGCACTTGCTCGGCAGGCCTTGT